ATCCCCAGCACCACAAAAAGGGGGGGGGGGGGTTTGGTATTATCGCTCAGTGGTAAATAAAGTACCCCTGGGTTCAATCCCCAGTATCAAAGAAAGAAAAAGGACAGTGGGGAGGGCTGCTGCATGACTGGACCTTGAGGTTACTTTCTAGGTTACTTTCTCAGAAAGCGAGCCTCTAAGCACAGGGAGGAGTGAAGCTGAGACACAAATTTTCCACCAAGGTCCACTAGCAGCAGGATCTTGGAGTAGGATCCATCTAGAAGCTTCTATTCATTATCTCAAAATGAGTGGGTGCAAGGATTTAAAAAAAGAGGATCATACATGAACACTTAGTTGAGAACCAATATGCAGATGCAATGAACACTGTAGGTATTATTTAATGACAATATTATTATTCTAGTTCTGACCCTTACCACTATGTGACTCTAGCCCAGACCCCTGCCTTCATTGAACCTACCTAGTCATGAACAAACTAAGAAACTAGACAGTTCGGTTTTTGTTTGTTTGTTTTTTGGTACCAGGATCTGAACCCAGGGGCGCTTAACCTCTGAGAGGTCACCCTCAGCCCTTTTTATATTTTATTTAGAGATAAGATCTCACTAAATTACTGAGGCTGGCTTTGAACTCACAATTCTCCTGTCTCAGCCTCATGAGCCTCTGGGATTATAGGCATGTACAGTGGTACCCAGCAAAAAGAGATTTTATAGAGGCAAAATGGAAGACCGGTGGAACCTATCTAGTAATTGCTAAATACCGCAGAAGGCAACATATTTAAAAGAGGAAAGCAGCCTTATCAAGCAATACTTTTCCAAGCACTAGTTAATTCTTCACCAGCAATACAAAGTATTTATATGAGCACCTCAGGCCTGGGTGACAGCCTTCTACTTGCTTGAATGTGGCTAGATATTGCCTTCAGAATCTCTACTGCTTTAGGTTTGTTCAGTCACCTGTGTCCACACAATTCTGGCATCAATCTGCAGCAGACTCCCTTTCCTAAGACTGAGCTTGACCACATCATTAGGTTGTAAAACAATCTCCATGGTTATTAGCTGATTAAACTTGAATTCAACACCATATGGTGACAGGAGGCAGCAAAGGATAAGATTCTGATCTTAGATCATTCCAAGTAAGGCATTTTAGATGATAACGAGAGAAGGATTAGTTGCAGGCTGGATCTGAGCTCAGGGTTGGGCATGAAGAAAACTGTTCCATGTAGTTTGGGAGAGCTAGGGACTCCCTGAGCTCTGTTGTGAACTGCAAGAGCTTCATTTAAGGAAGGGTATGATGTGGGCATAATAAAACCATTCTTCAGACAGTTGAAGATGGTCCCCTTCTATAGCCAGAAACACCAGCTGTCCAGCTTTGTCCATTTCCTCTAGCCCCAGGCGGTCCTGTATGTACAGAGTTGTCTCTTGTAAGGGAATGGTTTCCTTGGCTTGGCCTCTTCTATAAAATCCAAACCACTCAGAAGCTACAGGGTCCACAATGGAGTCATTGAGGAATTTCATCACAAATGTCTTCAGGGTCATGAGGTTTTTTTTT